ATCCAAACCAGACAGGAACACTCGTGCAAATGACATTGAATCCAGAGAAATCTGACGTTAATTGTGCTATTCGGAGAGGCCAGTTGTGAGTTTTGACGGCGGGGCTCAAACCCGGGACCTTCTGAGTTCTGTCCCAGTTCGATTAATGATAAAGGATAGAAATTTTTACGATCCGTCATTTGTCAATTGTACGTGATCCAATTTTTAACCCCGGGTACCCACTTCGTTTCCCGGCGGTGCCCGGATTTATAACTTGTGTTGGGCAAGGCCGTGGTCTAGGCAACGCGGAGTTTTCCTCCGTGGCATCCCAATAATTACTCCATTCACACACAGAAGAAGGCAATTGCAAACCACTTCTGGATCATCTGCCAAGAACGTATATGAACAGGTCCCAGTCCGAGAAAAGGATGGAAGGATCCTGTTCATATGGACCTGTCGTCAGACAGAACACTACAAATAAATAAATAAATAAGTTTGTGTATAGACTGAAATAATAAATAAATATATATACTGAATTTTAACACAAACATGACGCATCTAAACTATAAACTTGAGAAGTGTTGAACTTTTGTCTATAGAATTTTATGTTGATATTGGATTGTTACTTAGATCGGACACTTTTCACGAATTTTTGTTTTGTTTACGTGAGATAATTGTTTTTGTATAATCTTGCCACAGTACGTCGTTTTGCACTGAAGAAATACATCTGTTTGTTCCAATCTTCTGACGCCACAATCAAGGAAAACACAAACAAACAAACAAACAAACAAATGTGACTTGTTTTTCTGTTTCCATGGCCACGTCTGACGAAACTTAGTTCCTGACGAACGCACCAGAATTTCTGCGTCAATTACTTTTGTTTGTGAGATGAAATTGAAGGGTTACAGTGCACGGACACGAAGAAGTGTTTTTATTGGTCGATGGCTCTTGGCGGGACTTTCACACAAATCCAAATCCGTCAAATGGTTTCGGAGACGTAACATTCTGACGGACAGACTGAATCCTTCGGAATCTTCCGGCTGAACGCTGTAACCAGGCTGACAAGCTCACTGCATTGTGTAACGCGCATTGGCCTTGCCTGATATATGACTTCACGTCCAGGGATGCCCAAGGTAGCGTCTCCCCATATGTTTGGCGTTTATTTCGACGAAATTTCATATTCGAGGTCTTGAATAAAAGTTGTAAGACATTTCATTTTTGTCTGCACATATCGAATGTAACGTCAGATCTATTCGTAGCGTCATATAAATTTTCTCCGCATTTCTTACAGAAATGTGGTTAAAATGTTGTTAGCTTGTGGTTAAAAGGGATTCAGTACCTATCGAACTTGGAATGTATCTATATACGTGATTTATATTCAAATAAATTAAGGAACAATTAATTTATTACTGTCTGGTGTCGCACATCTAGTGCGAATTTAAATTTCCAACAAATTTTACAGATATCACCAGCAGCTACGTCTTTCGCGAAGAGTTACGCTGGCCTTGTAATCCTGGGGTCTCGGGTTCGATTCCCGGCGGTGCCCGAATTTATAACTTGTGTTGGGCGAGGCCGTGGTCTAGGCAACACGGAGATTTTCTCCGTGGCATCCCAACAATTACTCTATTCACACACAGAAGCAGGCAATGGCAAACCACTTCTGGATCATCTGCCAAGAACGTATATGAACAGGTCCCAGTCCGAGAAAAGGATGGAAGGATCCTGTTCATATGGACCTGTCGTCACACAGAACACTAAATAAATAAAACTTCCTTCTGTCAGAACGTGAAATGCGAATTTTAATGTGTCCTTGCCGTGTTCGTTTCCTGGTATTCGACACGTGCTGTACATTCGACGAGAGTTCAGCAATGGACGGACCCTCGTCGACTGCTCTTTGAACGCCCTGTACACACGTAGAATTGTGAAATTGCATTCTCGAAACGTTACGAGTTTGCCCTCGACTTTGTAAAAGCGAATGACCCAAAGGGTTAGCGATTAGATGCTTCAAGTGACGACGCTTTGAACTCGCAGTAATGTCGAATTTTCTGAAGAAAGTGTAACCAGTGAGAGAGAGAGTCAGGAAGGGGAGTCGAGGAAAGCGTGAGGTCAGGAGACGTCGGAGGTCAATTGTGTATGTACAGGGATAACACAATCCTCCAAGAGGTCTATCGGAAAACCATATTCTTCGTGAAATGTAATAGAATTACGTATTTCGTGCGAGTTGTTTAAGAATTTCTCTTCGTCTTTTAGGGACAGCCATGATTCATTGTCGTGACCACAAGTGCCCTCCACGGGACTCCATCCCGTGTCCAATCCAGTCGTCATCATTTTAATTTTCTCCTTTCCTAATGCTCGTTTTCTGCACATCTGCGCCTAAGGCTTACGAAATGCTCTTTTTAAATCCAGGTTCATCGCCAACATCCACTCTGCATGCCCCGTCCATCTCGTTCTCCTTCATTCGATCACCAGATAAATAGTATTTAGTGAACAGAACAAATCATGGAGCTCGGCGTTACACACTTTTCTACACCTCTCTGGTACGAATATTTCCCTCGGGACCCTCATTTCAAACACCCCAAGTCTCGTGGTCTTTTCCCCCTTCATGTAATAAACCATGTTTCACACCCATACAGAACGACTATTATATTTTAATCTTCACACTTTTAGACGGAATAAGTTTTGTTGTGTTGAAGCTCTGTAAGTTTTTTTGGGCGTGGTAAGGACGCCGAATTCCTTGGCCGCCATCTTAGTTCAGTTTCCACAAAGCTGAAATCGTTTTACAACCTCGTGAAATAATTAACCCTTCGAATCTGCATTGTACGTGATTTCACCCGAATAAGTACGTCTGATTTATGTTTAAATTATCCGCCAACCTTCGTTATCCGTTTCTTTGGCCTGTGTACACCCCTCGCCGCCGTTAAACAATTGCCAGCTTTCCCCTCCTCCTCCCCCGCGCGGCGATGTTTCGTGATACCTGCGGAGGTTCCCTTGGCTTAGTTGCCGCTGGGGCTTTGACGGGCGCGGGTCGTGTTTTCGCGTGTGCAGATCGAGGAAGTGTGTGCTCCCGTCTTTACCTTATGGTGATTCTCATATCTTGTTGACTGTTATTCTTGTTTTTTTGGGAAATTGATTGACGTTTTAAAATTATTTTACATGTTTTGGTGTTATTTTAAATTAACCCGCATCGCGGAACGATGTACAGCTGATGAAATTTTTGTCAATATTTTATAGAATCCGAAGACTTATTATGACTGTGTTCACAAGAGCCCATCAATAATCCCTGTCCTGAACCATGTGAATCCAGACCGAATTCTCACACCCGATTTAAGATTCATTTTAATATTATATCTGAACGCTCCCGACATGAAAACTTAAGCAGTTTCTTTTCAGAAAATTGATAGATGCTCTATTTTATTTTCGTGTAAAATATTAATGTATAATATTCATATTTTCTCGACAAACACTAATGACGTACAAAATGAAACTTAATCCAGATCTGTTACGTAATTTCGGAGATGGAATATGTGTCTCGATTCTAGAATTTTGGAATTCCTGAGGTGATTTGTGTCATTTTAAAAAAAACAAAACCTTGGTGTAATCCATCGGGTCACGAAAATTTCCCAGTTGGTAACATCCCTTCTGCGTACGTCTTTAGCTGGTGATTCAAATGCGCGAGTTAGTTCACGAATCTGATGTCCTGTTCTACCGTTGCTTGGCTTGGTATAATTTCGTTAGGGGAAAAAACATCATTTCTCTAAACTGTTCGCTTCTCTCATCTGTGCAATGATTAGGGCTCAGTCACAAGGGGGTCCAGGAAAGTTTCCACAAACTGGCTATTCGTTCATGTGAAAGTATTTTTAGTATACTCCCGATTCAACCACGGACATTGTCATGGCATTGGAGAACTTTTTAAGTTTCTCGTTACATTTCGACGTTTCGTCATCAACAGTTGGGGTGTGGATGGTCCGAGTGGACAGGCTGTAATTAAAACGTGGAGTGAGAAGAATAAGAATTGACTTATTGGTACATATCCTGAAATTTGCTGTCTGTCTGATGAGGTCCGTTTAATTGTGTTCATGTTCAGGTCGGCCTCTGTCAGTTAATTTACGGTTTGTACTCTAATTGCCGGCCTCCTTGGGCAAAATCATGTGTTCCGCACGTGGTGTTATGAAATATAGCGCCCTGTGGACCGATTCAAAACGCGGTTCAGTATTCCGACGTCTCGCGGCCACATTTCTTAATTCCCACATCAATCTTTCCAAGCTATGTAACCTCAACAGTTGATATAAAATAGTTGAATTAATAAGAAAACGTAACTCGGAATTACTCTTGGCATATCGAAGTATGCGTTGTGAGGACGTGTGTCATTCACTTTTACCCTGAAGCAGGAGACAGTACGTTCCTCCAAGACCCCCGGTGACCACTCACAAGACTACATCCGACGTTTTTACCACTCAGAGTCCTAAAATCATATTTGAATACCCGGTGTACCGTTTAATAAAAATTGATTCAGCTGTTTCGCCTTTCTTGGAGACTATAATCAATAGTCGTGGCCCATAACAAAAGTTTATTGATCAGGTGAATAATCTGTACCAATGTGTTTTTCGTTACTTTTTTGTGGTTTTCCTCAGGTTCGAACCGTGATTGCGTATTAAAATAGGCCACGATAGCTTCTTTAACATTCTTTCTAACCCCCCCCCCTCCCCCTCCGTTCGTGTCGGCACTTGGGCAACGGAAAAGCCCCCAAGAAGCGATCAATAATATTCGGTGCCCCGTCGGAGCGCTGAGTGCATGTGATGACAGGCGTCTGTTAGAAGCGAGTTAATTGAAGGCTGTGCCGATGACATGCCCGTTCTTATTTTCCATCGTGCAGGGTGACCAAAAATGTGCGTGGGTCGCATAGAATAATTTGGCGTGCCCAGACGCCACTGATGATGAACCACTTGAGGTCGAAACGCGTATGGCAATAGTGTCTTTTTATAGTGTTAATAGTTTGTTTACTTATCTTATATTCTAATACACTACATGGTATGCAAAGTTTTTTTTAAAAAAAATTGTGTTTTTAAACAGTTTTTAACAGATTTTAAATCGACTTACTTCACAGTTGACCATTAAATGTTCCTTCCGAATTCCTGCTCACTCATTGTATTTACCAAATTAACCAATCCTGGGTGCCTCAGAATGTGTCCCACTCTTCTTCTCGTAAGATTTTTCCTTCGTTGGTCCTGTCTAAGACCAGCTCATTTCGTCCATTATCAGTCCACTTAATTGTCAACATTTCAAAATCTTCTATCCTTCTTTCTGGCTTCCCCACTGACCATATGCCCTCCTACTGACGTGTCAGAGATCAAATCATCATCTCTTTTGGTGTTTTGGGTTGTCACACTTTCGACTGTAGCTCCGTTAGGAATCATTTCCCGACCAGCGTACTGACATTTTTTAAAATATCGCTTATTTGTCGTACATAACATAATGAATCGACTTGAGTCTTATCTCTGTCTGAATAATAATGATGATTATTATAAAATAATGTCCTCTGTAGTAAGATTCAGACGTCAGCGGTTGTACTGGGTCCAATGACGTGATGGTCAGTTACGTTTATCTAAACCTCACAACAACTTAACCTCGCAGCCGCCAGTAGCTTCGTCTTCCAGTGTGCAGTGTGTATTTATTAAGTGTAAATGATTTAGTGTGAAGTGAAACTTTGTATATCGAGTGATAAATACGTCGGTAGAAGTGGATATTTTATTTAATCAGAGGATAAGTGCTGATATATCTCTTGGACTTATGGAGTCCTCTCAACACTCACCAACATCGGAGGTTTGTATCTTGCCATGAAATGGCTGTTTGTGATTGGCTGTCGCGTCGTACAGACAGAGTGTTTGGTTTGACTTGTTATTATAATACAAACTCCTTATTGGTTGTCCAGATACTGACAAGTCACTGCTGTGAATGTATTGTAAGTGCAGATGGCTGTCTTCTGGATTGTTGGGACGTGTAATCTGGTAGAAGTTTCGGAGGTCGTTACTGCCTCCATCGTCAGGGTGATCGCATTGGTAAATGTCTGCACGACTACACGGCGCTACGGCACAGAAGACAGCCATCTTTGTATTAAATTTGTCGGATATAACCTAACCTCAAAGTTGTTTTGTGTAGATTGTATTTACCTACATCCACACTATAGTTTACATGCATGAGTCCCGTGGTTCATTGTTTATCGTTGCAAACCTAACATCATTCGGTCGCCATGTTGTTTTCCGTTCTGCAAAAATTGACATTGACCGAAGTTGTGTTTATTTTGCAGTTTTCTTTTCATAATTTCGGAAGCCTCCATTAAATAACACTAGTGTCGCTGCAGTCATGTTCGCGTGTCCAACACATGGTTATCGATCGAGGTGCGTTGGCCTTCACTGACATCCTTGCCACATACGGATAAAGGCTGTCATCTGTTTAAAATATTGGCAAGAGTCTGGGCACACACAAGTATAGGCAGCCTTCCTTTTCCCACACGGAAGGAAACCTGGCTATAAACAGACCAGAAATCTATCAGAATTTTAATTTGAGTAGTGTATCTTTAATTTGGGGTCCGCGCGGTCTAAGGCGTGGGCCTTGTGCCCCTTGGTCCGTGGGTTCGAATCCCACTGTGTTGTGCTGTCCTGTGTACAGGCAGAGGCCTTGCGACGGGCCGATCCCTCGTCCAAGGAGTCCTACCGAATGTCTATAGATCAAGCCAATGCTCAGGCACTTGAAGAATGGGTCGTTCCCAGTATCTTTAACTTGCAGGGAAGAACACGTTGAATTAAGGGTGGTTAGGGAACGGGGTGCTATATATAATAATCTTCTCAAGGGAAGACTAGTTTAGATTTACGCGGTCCATGTATTCCGGATCAGGATGTGTAACAAGTCAGTGCTCCATAGAGTTCGTTCTTTGGAACACTCCCTCTTAAGCAGCAGGTGGTACTCTTAACCTTAAAGAATGTTACTCTGTACACAAAACTTTATGGCGTGATTTTTGAGACATAGTGGAAGGGAGAGCTTAAAGATCTGGTAATAAACACGAAGCTTTGCCTACCGTGCCTTACCAAAGACACGTCACTGATATAGCACAAAGAAGTGGAATGTTTTCGTTTGACCGAACTCAGTGTTGTATTACCGACGTGCACTTCACACTGGCGCACTCTTCACTCAGTAAACGTATTTAATCATGTGATCCCGCACAGGTTGTGTAATACTGACCTAGTATTAACATTTCGTGTCCTTGGAGCGTGTCCCCACCTCCACTGTAGGAGATAAGTTACAGATGTAAGGATGTGTTGTGTGGTTTTGTAGGAAGCATAGAAATTTTACGGTTCGTGACGTTTTTGTACTAATTATGGTGTTTTCAGTCGGTAAGGAAAGAACCATTACCAGTGATAGGGTAAGTTGGTTTAGTTGGATGATGGCCACAAATCCTCAAGTCCTACATAATAATATTGTCGAAGCCATGCCTTAATTCGAAGTGTATCGTTTCCGTATTAGTTTAGTGTGGGTGAATCATAGTTTTAGTTCAACGTTCTCTAGTAAAATTGGGCCGCCTGCGAAACTTGTTTCTTAATTTAGCGTGCTGTGCCAGAGGTTATGGTACTTTATGTATAAAGCAGTTGTGAATACATTGGGATTAATGCGTGATGGTGTGGCCTATTAAAAGGCTGAAGGTAATTACTTGGATTAACAATCAAGGTATGTGGCTTCCGAACCGGTAACTTCACATAAACAGGAAGCGTAGACAAATGTATTGGCGGAAGTGATCGTTTTATAGGCGCGTGGTACCGGTATGGTCATAGGTAATCAGGGTGTGGTATTCCATAGAGGGATATATTCAGTGGTCTCAACTAACTGGCTTTGATATGACCCAATAAGCAGGATTGCCAACCCAATCTACTTCCGGTTGTTTTTGTTTCAAGTATGACCTTGAGAAAAGGTGGTGTTTTCTCGGGAAGGATGTGGATTCGGTTAATTTGACTGAAGGTAGTTTTAGGGGCGGACTCTTGTGACTTTCGGGTTACATTAACGTAGAACACTATTTTATATTTATGTTGGAAACAAGTATTGTATTTGTGTTATGACATTCTCTAAATCCTTGGCTTAAACCTATGATGGGTCCATGAAATGTAAGTAAATTCTGTTCTTTTCTGAACCTACTCGGTCGTGTTTGAGGGATATTTTAAACATTTCCACACCCGTAATTGACGTTTCGGAAACTGCTAAACACACATGTCCCTATATAATTCCTCTTCGGATTCCCGTGTAGAGATCTGTTTGGTCTCTTGTCTACCCTGAAGGCTGAAAGGACTGATTGCATGAAGATGACCATAATTTTATGATGTTGTACCACGTAGTCAGTAGCCTTCAGGATGATCACCCTGTTGATGGATGCAGCAAGTATCTTTGAAATGTCAGTAAACTTATACCTACTTAATATTTGAGAAGACAGTCATGTTCGTACTCATGCCCTGTTATAACCAGAAATCTCACAAACTGACTGCCAACTTCACAGAGCTGAGGTGAATGTCCATTAATTATTATACCGGACCATTTTGTATGCATAAGTTCTTTGCACATTTTTTTGGGACCATGTTTGGTTCAGGTACACGTCTCCCTGTCATTGAGACAGTCATTTAATCTGGCAATAACAATGAGAATATTTTATTATTAAGTGTTCTGTCTTACGACAGGTCCATTGCTCTGCCCAAAAAGAGCTCTCCAGTTGTCCCTATTCTCGGCTTCTC